ACAAAACTTATCTCTTTAATTAACCATTTCCTCAGCACGGTGCTTTTCAAAACTTAGCTGTCAGGATCACATGAAGGGCTTGCAAAAACACAGACAGCTGGGCCTCCAACCTCAGAGTGTCAATGAGGTCCAGAGTAGAGCTCAAGAATTTGCATTTTGAACATTTCCCTATTCTCCCCCACCCATGCTGATTCTGCCAATCTGAGGACCACATTTTGAGAAACCCTGCTTCAGCACCTACAGAGTTGAGAGGCTGGCTAGGCAAAGTACTGGCTGGGCAGGTCTCCCCCAAGACTCTACTGGAAAACAAAGGTAAAAGTCATCCAAAGGCCAAAACACATTTACATTCAATATTTAAATAACAGCAATTACCATAATCTGCTCCTCAAACTTTTCTGGTTCATACATATTGTTTATCTTCCTGGTTTCATGCCACCCTCATTCTTGCCCACCCAAGATGCATTTCTGGCGGTTCTTCTCTCTCGCAGCCATCCTATATGACCACAGCCATGTCTGCCCCAGATGCCCTTATCCCTAGTGACAGTACAAGTGTCCACTGGTGGATCCCAACTGCAGCTGAGGCAATCAACTGGAATTTGGAATTCCTCTTTTGAACAAGAGGCAAACTCAGAAGCTGCAAGAAATTGCCATTTTCCACCATGTGTGCTATGGAACACAGAAAAGGTCCATCTGTACGTGCAGAGAAGCAGGGATGAGGTAGGGAGTGAGAGCTTCCTGGTTTCCATGTGGTCCTCCAGACCCCGGTTTCAGTGAAGGACTCACACCCTTCTATATCCCTGCCCTGGGGTTCCATAAGTTAACCCCAAACCTGTACCTTCTATTAAATTCCCCTCGCTTGCCTAAACTGGCAGAAGAGGATTTATTATGTACAACCCAAAGGGCCCTAATTAAAACTGTTAATAAAGTCAATTTTGGGGTCTCTTTCCTCTCTGTTTCAGTTCACTGAAGAGAGTAACCTCACCTTAAACTTCATCCTACCCAAGTTTACTTGCTTCTAAATATTTCATAGCCATGGGGAGCCTGGCTGGCTCAGTTGGTGGAGCATGTGACTCTTGATTTCGGGATCATGAGTTTGAGCCCCACATTGGGGATAGACACTACTTTAAAAGAAAAATTATATATATTTCACAGCTGAAGCCCTATCTTACTCAGGAGATTCCCTGAACCCTACACATCTCTATGTATTTCAAATCCATGCCTGCTTGGATTTTTCTACATGAGGCAATTATAATTTATATTTCTCTCCAAGACTAGACTGGGATAAATGAATATAAACCAGAAATGAACAGAAATCCACTTGGTTTTGTTCCTTGTGCACAGAAATAAGAAAACCTATAGAGGTGTCTCAAATTGAGATCTAATATGAAGTTTTATTTACCATGTTAGATATACTTAAGTGCTTAATTTTTCATTAATGTTACTGAAATAACTTCAGCTTTTATTTTTGTGGAATTCACATGTTTAAAATGGTATTCTTAACCCGCTACTTCTAGGTTCAACCACCTACATGGTACATTTTATGTATTCATTCCCATGCAAACATGTGGCTTCCCAAAAGGAGAAGGGGCATTTCTTTATCTCTGTGTGTCTACCCACTCCTCTTACAGTACAACAGAGACAAAACAGATCAAGTTTTGTGTCACCTTCAGCATTGCATCACGTCTGTGATAACACATCTGTTCCACAAGTTGGTGAGGTCACTCGACGCTGCAAAACCAGGGTTTCATAGTGACAGGATTCTCTTCGTCTGTCTAATGTTACAGATCCTCTGTAATGAACTTCAGGATTTTGGCCTCCTTGAATCAAGGCTTCTGGGAATTATCTTTGGCAACTCTGCGCTTCAGCAAAAAAGTCTGATTGTTTTGGCTGCCTTGTGTCACATAACAATAGGTAGTCACAGACATCCAGCGGTTTCCTCAGAGTGGGTTGCTTTCTTTATGGTAATCAATTTACTTGGCCCAGCTGTCAGGCACTTGACTTCCCAATTAACAACTGGAAGTAGAATTTGAGCCGCAGGAAGGAAGAAAACTCAGATTTTCCCAAACACACAGTTAATGAAAAACTTAGCCTAGCCTCTACCTCATCTGTGTTTTTCCCATAAAATGTAAATGTCAATTTGGAAAACAATATACCTACAGCTGTTTCTCCACCTGGGAAGGTTTCACATGATGTTTGACTGGGCCCCGTGCCCAACATCCATCGTTAAGGAGTTAACATAAATTAATTTAAAACTGGAAATGAACCTGCCAAAATTGTTGACCAGTTTCCCCTTATTAATTCAGTGAAAAGACTAAGGGTAGCCTACACTACAGATCAAAGTTTCTAATCTCAAGGAAAGAAACAACAAACAAGAAAAATCCTTTTATTCCACATCTTAGCTATTCCTTTGGCCAAAACTGGAAGAAGAAACAAAATGTGTGATAATGCATGGGGCATACTTGTCTCATTCACCCAACTCTTCCTGGCCAAAAGGATTTTCCTCAATGTGGCAGAAGACTATACATGGAAATTTGCAAGGCAGGAAGCAATAGGGACTCGTGTTCATGAGAACGCCCACAGCCAGTCTTTGGGGTATCAGCTCAGGTGAACCTAAGGCATCCCTGACTAACCTGCATGGCTGCTTTGGGAGATGAATTACCCCTCTTGTCTATAGAGGGACAGGAACTATCATGGAAAGGGGGACTTGAAGACACCGACAAGTTCTTTATGTGGATGTCTTTCAGGACATTAATATTGAAATCGCTAAATTGCAGCTTGAGGAAAGAGAGCATAGGAAGTTTTTCCCTCACATCCTTCTTCCAAGAGCGCCGATCCATCCATGATCAGAAACTCTAATATCCCACTGTAAATCCAATAAAGGGTGAGTCCCCTTTACCTTGGGGCTTAGGAATGAAAAGGCACTTTTTTTTTTAAGTCACATGTTTATTTCTAGGACTAACTTGGAAACTTCTTCACAGTTTACCTGAACATAGTCTGCTAGAATGTAGAAGTACGGAGTTCGAAGTGCAAAACATTTACTGAATGGATTCCATTGCCCTGGACTACTTCCGACTAGACCATGTGAATCTAGAGGAGAGGGGCTGGGATGCTATTTCTTCAACTGAAGTCTCTCACACAAAGAACGTTGGGGGATTTTTTTCAAGGCAAAAAAAAATCACTTATCTTAGTCTTTCAAACAAGTATTCATTCCACACTAGGAAGCAGGATAGGTGCCCTTTGGAAATATGACTGTGTCATCCAATCAACTGTCGTTGAACTCCACAGCACATAAACTCAACAAAAGTCAACATAAACATTTAGAAGGACCATTGCTGTCCACAAGTATCATTAAATGTGCATGGCTGTATGACCACATTCTATTTGAGGGATCTCATTATTATCTAGGAAATTATTTCATACTTCAGTGTCCAAAATCATATCACCTAGAAGGATTAGGAGAAAATGTTTTCCTTAAAGAAAATCTTCCCTGAAATCTCATTTTTGCATATTATCTTCTGTTGCCACCCCATCTCTCTCTGCTCACAATACTGGTTGCCCAGCAAACTCTGAAACAGAAATAGCATACACTGGGATCCTACCGACCGGAGTCACTGTTGGAAGAGGGTCACTGCAATGTGAAAGCCTGTGCTATGGAAGAAGAATCAGAGAGCTGTGTGACCCCTTTGAATTGACTGGAAAAAACAACAGACATATTACTCTATGTCACTGAGACCTTTTGACACAGGAAGGAGGGCTTAAGTATAAGAAAATATGTTGGCCTGAACATCATATTTTTAAACTTTCAGCTTTCAGCAATCAGCACAGTCCTGCTAGGCCTCCCATCTGCTAAAGGGAAGCTGTTCTAACACTGTGAAGTTTAGAAAAAGGGGGCTATAATAAGGACGTCATAACTGCACTCTGCTTTATCTATCACAAATCATGTACCCTTGAAGTTCCAGTGTGTTCTAAATTAACATCAAAGGAAAGAATTCTTAACCCCACCAACTGGCAAATACAGGAATTTCAACTGTTCTGATATAATGGCTCTAAGTAAATCACTATTAATTTCTTGCTTTCCAACTTATTGGTCAACCAGAAGCACAGTCAGAATTGCCGAGGAAATTATAGGGAAGGAGCATCCCTAATGTATCTCTTGCTTTCATCTTCCAAACACAGGGAGTTACAAACTGAAAACACCTTTTGATTCATATTAGCATTTTGAATATAGTTTCTAAAAAATTACCTTTTAACTGAGGCTGGGATATGACTTGGTAAGTATATTATTATTGATACGACTTTTCTTCCCATGCTCTAAAAGTCATACTCTTGAATTTAAGAGACACTAAATTTTTACCTGTTCTGAAGGGGCAGATGGGAGACTGGAAAAGAACCCAGAATATATGAATTCCAAATTATAATCAATTTTCCTTCTCTGACAGGCAGATTACATTTAAATACTACTAAAAAATTATTCATTCATCTTAAGAACTTAGATTAATTATTGTAATAGTCCACTATGAAATCTTCTTTGTAAAATCTCTTATTGCTACTCTATTGCTAATTACTACAAACGCCATCTCAACTGTTTATTAAGAAAAATATTTTTAATGGTTCCTAAAGAATACAGCATAAATACACACAAAAAGAAAGGTCCTCTATTGAGAAAGAATAGATATTTTGATCAATTAGCAGAAATGCTTTGAATGTCATTAGAATGCACTTAAGATTATGACCTGCATCATCTTAGAAAGCAGCAGTGTTTTCCAACAATTTCCAGGAAAAGAAGGCTGTATTTAACAAGACAGGTACACAGACAACATCTGCAAACAAACTCATACACACAACGCAGGAATGCAAGCTGAGCCACCCAATCATTCCTGAATTTGCCTCAATAATGCGATATTGCTACCATGAGCCTAATTATAACCCATGCAGGAAGCAGCCCAGTTGGCTGCAAATGAAATGATCAGAACGTGAATATTTTAGAATAAATCAAGTACCTGATAGTTTCATGAGAAGTTCAGATGCTGCTTTGACAGACATATCCCGCCTTAGCACATTCCCCTTCCCTTCCTGGGGCTTAAGGGTGTCCTCAGAGATGCTCGGGGCTGGCACTTCCGATTCCGGGCTGAACACATAGCTGGACCGAGGCAAAGTGGCACTTAAGGCCTCCTCTTCCTTGGGCTCCTCTTTCACTTTAAAATTAAGATTCATGGGCTCCTTCTGATTTGCAGCTGTCAAAAGAAGAAAGGTATTATATATATATATACATATACAAAAGGCCACTCCCCCTCTTAGCTGCCCCCGGACTTAATGAAATACGGAATGCACCATCACACTGTGCTGACAGCAGGAGGGACCACAACCCGATCAAAACAGGCTGGGACCTGGGCAGAAAAAAATACAATACACTCCATGAGCACGCGGCTCTGAAGAATGTGGGCTTCTGAATCTTTGGAAGCTATCATATTTTAAGAAGTGCTGCCTCTACAAAGTGGACATTTTTCTCTCTGGTTTCCCTAAGTATCTTCTTTCCTGTACATGCTGCAGCCTCCCTGACCTATGAGGCTTCTCCCCCACTTAACCCTATTATAAAATAATGCTTTCCGGCAATTATTCTGCCATAAAATACTCAATATAAACATGAGTCAGACGCAATACCCAAAGCAAAAAACTGGGGTGGGGTGGTAAGGTGATGAAGAATTCGCCAGAGAGAAGCTCAGACTAGAGATATCCCACTTTGCCTTATTGTGAACTGACGCTCCTGACCCACGAACACCAGGGCATGCACTTGGAACTATTTTTCCAGTCACTGTGAATAAACCCGTATCTGTAGCTCAAGTCATCTTTGAGACCATGATGGGCACTTTTTTTTTTTTTAAAGAAAATCTTTTATTTTGAAATAATTTTAGACCTACAGAAATGTTGGAAAGATGGCTCAAGGAGTTCCCATATATTCTTTGCCCAGCGTTCTTGGATGTTCACATCTTACATAAGCGGGGGTGCGTTTTGTCAGAACTAAGAAATTCACATTGCTATGAGCTAAACTCCAGATTTTATTCAGATTTCACCAGTTTTTCCACTAATGTCCTTTTTCCATTTTTAGCGTGGTTGGTTGGTGTGGAGTATGTGGTCAGGGCAGAGCTAACTGGCCTATTATGGGATGGCTTCTGTGGCTTGGCTACACCATAGCAGGCCTTCACCCACTGAGCTACACACTCCCTGGGGAAGACCATGAAGGAGGACAAGTATCCTCTGACACCACTGGCCACTTTCCTAGGCAGCTTGCTCCCCTTTAATGGGCCATGCAGTAGGAACTTTAGGTTGGTTATATTAGATGTCTTTTGAGAAAGAAGATCTCATCCTAATACAGAGTTCTTAGGAACACTCATGAGAGTGAACCCGAAGCCCACTCCTGCTTAACAAATAAGAAGATGAAAATAAATCTCCAAAGTAAGCACTTCTAACTTGTTGCTCACCACCTACCCTAGCCTGTACCCAAGCACAAAGTCCTTTCTCCCTTGTGCCCTCTAAAGGTGTACATTCTGGAATCACAAGTTCACACAGACCAGCATATTTAGAAACTGGACTCTGGAGGGCTAAGGTGACATTTGGAAGTTTTACCACCAGAAAGATGCAGAGCTGGGACTAGAACTAGTTCCACGAGCTGCCTGCTCTGTGCCTCCACCTTACCTACCTCCACCACACCATTCCTCCACTTCTGGTCCCTTTGCTATAACAACACTTGAATGTAAACTTGACCTTCGAGTGCCACCTTCTCAATGAAGTCTATCCTGACCATCCTGTTCAGAACTGCAATCCCCACCCCATGGTGCTCCCAATCTCTCTTACCTTACTCTTATCTTCCTTTTTTTCCAAAAAACTTACCACCTGGTAACTTCTGGTTAAGGACTGAATTTTGCCCACTCCCACCAATTCTTATGTTGAAACTCTAACCCACAATGTGGCTATATTTGGAGATAGGGAGGTAATTACAGTTCAATGAGGCCATGAGGGTGGGGCCCTAATCCAGTATGATGGATGTCCTGTAAGAGATACCAGGGATGCATGCACACAGAGGAAAGATCGTGGGAGGACCCAGCAAGAAGGTGGCCATCTTCAAGCCAAAAAGAGAAGCCTCAGGAGAAACCAATCCTGCCAACACCTTATCAGACTTCCAGCCTCCAGAACTGTGAGAAGTAAATTTCTTTTGTTCAAGCCACCACATCTTTGGTATTTTGTCATGGCAGCCCAAGCAGACTAGTTACATACCATATAATTTTCTTATTTATTATGTTAACCATTATGATCTGTTCCCCTAACTCAAAGGTAGGCTTCAAGAAGGCAATGATCTTTGTTTGTTTTTTTTTTAAAGATTTTTTTATTTATTTGAGAGAGAGAGAATGAGAGATAGAGAGCACAAGAGGGAAGAGGGTCAGAGGGAGAGGCAGACTCCCTGCTGAGCAGGGAGCCCGATGCGGGACTCGATCCCGGGACTTCAGGATCATGACCTGAGCCGAAGGCAGTCGCTCAACCAACTGAGCCACCCAGGCGCCCCTTGATCTTTGTTTTAACACTGATGTACCTTGAGTGCCTAGAACAGTGCCTGGCACATTGCAGGCACTCAGTATATATCTGTGGCATGAATAAAATATGTTGTCTACAAATTAGTGACATCTGATGGTGCTTTACTATTACCCGTGGGAAACAAAAACTACGAATCCCAAAATATTCCACCAAAGGCAATCAGAAGTGTTTTTCCTGGATCTGATCCTTAGACTGGGAATAAGGCCTGGAGATAAAAGCTTTGCTATCTACACCACAGCACTTACTGAGGTGTCTGTGATAATTATTCACTTGGACTGTGCCATTACTAAAGGAGGAGTAAATTTCAGAAAAGTGCTTAAAATCTGGCCCTTCGGGGTGCCCGGCCAGCTCAGTCAGTACAACACGCGACTACTGATCTCAGGGTCATGAGTTCGAGCCCCACGTTGGGCACAGAGATTACTTTAAAAAAAATTAAAAATAAATAAAATAAAATAAAATCTGGCCCTTTGGGGACAGTGCCATCAGAATCTGAACCAAAGAGAATAATGATGGTCTCTGGAGCAATCATCATGTAATTCTGACCTCAGCAAGGAAGGTAGATCCTAAGAGGACTTTGTTTATTTAGCATACTTCTCCCCTTTCAACCATTTCCTGGAGGTGGTGGGGGTGCGGGGTGGTGGGGGTGCGGGGTGGCGGGTGTTGCTGGCTACCTCCTAAAGCTTCTCTCGCCCTATGCCTTTCTTCCAGAACCCTTTATAAAATCCTCTTCCAAAAGCATCCTAGTTAGTCACAACAGAATAACTAAGTGGCGTGTTTTCTGTTAAGCCTGAAACTTTGATTCTTTGGGAAGGAATAATAGAAAGTTATGTACTTTTTAAAATGCTTCTGTATCTTTTATTTTAAAACTTTTTAAAATTCTAAGGTGAGGCTAGGAAAGAGATAAGAAACTATTGAAGCCCTAGAAGCAAATCCCAATTTCTAGAGAGAGCAACCTTAAGCTGATGCTCTCTGAAGATATAAGTAGCTTCTAGAAGTATTCGTCACAATAAATGTTACATAAGATTTGAGAAAAAAATTCAGCATTGTTAGTACAACCAGACTTAACAGAACTTCAATAAGACACTTAAAAAAACAAGAGGCAAGCTAGCAAGCTAGCATGTTGCTGGATTATAAATTTGCAGGCATGTCATACCTGGTTTTCGTTCTGACAATGTCAAGAATGACATAAAACTACTAATGTGCCGGGGAAATGTAAATATAGCTAATAACAGATCACAAAAAAACCTGTGGGAAACACTCATTTGCCCAAGTTTTAATTTCCCAAACACTCTGGGTCTAAATACCAGAAATATTTATACTAAAAACAGTGCATAAAGCCTTTATCTTAAGATTAATATGACTGAATAATTGTCATAGTTTTTGTTACCCTACTTTTAAAAAACCCATTTTCTTTCTACAGAAAAAGGTGGAATTAAAGATGTTTTCTTTTTTCTTTGGGGAAACTGCTAAGAAAAAAGGAACCAATTACAATTCACAGCCTAGTCTTTACTTCATTCTTACTAACACAAAGATCTGTGCACATATGGAGTTCCATTTGTAAGAGACTTTCCCAGCCCTTACTTTGACTTCTGTTTATTTCTCTTTCAAGTTTCCAGATACTCCACTTTTAACACAAGGAGGAAACCCTACTAATCAAGAGGCCCCTTCTCTGTTTGTTTCAAACATTTTAGGACCTGAGCCACTTTGATTATAAATTATGTATATCTGTAAGTTCACGCACTCAATGGAGCTGGGCTGCCATTTAAAGGAAACAAATCAGCTTTTTGAGGATTTATACAGGATGCAAGATAAAGGCTCGTATGGGAAACAAATGGGAAAGCCACTGGGATAAAATGACTCCAAGTTTCCGATTCTAAATATGGGGAAGGATTAATTAATTGATAAAAAAAAAAGCCCTCTTTAGAGCAAAGTGTCATCAGTTCATGCTGAGATCCCTTTTAAGTACCCCCTCCCCCCAGGATTATTCTATAAACCTCCTTAAAAATAATGCACACACCTAGCATTTGCATAGTTAACATAGATCCTACCATAGATCACAGGAGATAGGTATTACTACTATCTTCATTTTATGAGTGAGGGAACTAAGGTCCCAAGAGGTTAACAGACCAACCCCTCCCCAATCACAGAGACACAGACTTCAGGGTTTCTGGCTGAAAATGCACCCAGCCTCTCTCCTTCCTCTCCAAGAGCCTTTGAGAGGGATGCTACCCTAAGCAGTTGGGACTATGGGCTTTGGAAATAAGTGATATGGAGTGAACCAGCCTTTGTTAGTGAGAAAGGGAAAGGTGGGACATAACCTGGAGGTAAAGGGCAGAAAACGTCCCTTTTCTGTAGGAAGAGGTTTTGTGAAGATCTGACTAAAAAGGTAAAAGAGGAAGAACGGGCCGCACCGTGGCTGTTCTGCTCTGTTCCGTCCGTTCCCTCTGGTAAAGGAAGATGACACTTTCCTGACATTTAATAAGACAGAGACCTCTTTCAGCTCAGAATCCAGCAATTTTGTGAATGCTGAAATGCTACATGAAAAAGGTAGGCCACTAAGAATGTTATTTCCTACCTCACCCTAAAGCCGAGCCAAAGACTCTCGGACCTGGAAGGGGCCACAGATGGGTGGTTCTCAAACAGTGTT